AGCATGGTTTGTTCATGTCAAAAAACATGTTTATATGTGTGTTATTGATGTAAATTTAAGCAAGGAAAGTGACATAGGTAGTAGTCGAGTAACGCAGCTTATACATATAAGAAAACATGCTTGTATGCGTTTTATGTGGCTAGAAACTCAAACCAATAAGAGATGCAACATGGGCAAAAAGCTTTAACATACGGCGACTTTCAAAAAAGGCATACCTATATGACCAAAGCTAGAGAAGAGAAGAGGCACGGGTAGTAGAATCTTATATGGGTTATGTAATAATTTTGGCACGATCATGTACCTTAGGTCGAGAAGTTCAAATTCCTAAAAAGAAAAGAGACATGGAAAAAAAGGTTTCCTATGGTTTGTAAGAGAAAATCCACATAATTGTGGGGAATATGTGAGGTTACATTGATTTTGAAAAAGGAAGGAGACATAAGTAAAAAAGGAAGGAGACATAATTTGTGTAACACTTGTGTAAGGGCGTGTGCCTCTCCCTCCAACCCAAGAGACACGATTTGCTTAACTAAACCTCATAGCTATAAATATATAATCTTAAACTTTGTGACTTCATCTTTCCTAAATTCCTATCTATAACCACACCAAATTTCCCTCTCTTCATCTTCCTTAAATCTCAAATTCCTCTATAACCATAAGTAGCCACCACTCTAATCCATTTTCCTCAAAACAAAAACAACCTTCCCATTACCGATACACCAAATAATCATTATCTTTCTCACTCACTCTCTCTCTCTCTCACACACACACACGGACATAACCAATAAGCAATAATGTTGACTTTTGAAGGCAAAGGTAAATAGATAGCCATCTTAGAGAAGAGGGTCCATTAGAAAATGATGGCTCAACGAGTAGGATATCCGATGAGTGTATAATTAGCATGATTTTTATGCTCTATTACATTAAAATTTTTAGTGTTTATTGGATTATATTAGGTTAATTAAGAGTAAGATAACAATTTTTAATTTTATAGGAAAAATGATGAATCGAGCAAAGAAACCCAAAGTCGAAGCCAAGGAAAGAGAAGTCAAGCAATGAGGTTGAGAAGAGTCATACGATCGTGTTAAATTACAAAGGAAACAACTACTTGCCATATGACATCAAGGGAGAAACTGTAAGGATTGTTCAACAAAAAATTCCACATAGGCAATAGCATTCCACATGGTCTGGAGGAAGAAATCCCATACAACAGATGCGTGTGTCAAAGCTAAGCACAATCCAATGGAAACAAAGAAGCAACATGAGCAATAGGCATTCCATATAGTTTGTAGTGAAGAGTCACATGCTCATGTCTCACAAGTAGAAAAAGTCTACACGGGTAGAAAGATTTAACACGACTTAAAGGTAAAGAATCTACATGGATAATAAAGAAGTAACACGAAATGAAGAGTAATGGCATATGATCGTGTGCCTTTAGTTAGAAAACCATGTAATACAAATTCTTCAAGTCTTTGAACCTTATAACATTAAGTAACAAACCATGTAATTTTATTCAGCAACATATATGGCCAAGTGGGACTAACACCTAAATGATGTAACCCAAGTTTTAGCTATAAATAGAGATGTTAGGATATTATTTCAAGATTCCAACTCCTAACAACCATCATAAATAGAAAACTCTTTTTGTAACCCATTATGAACAACTAAACACTATTCTTAGCTGAATCAAGTTGAAGTTTTTGGTTAAATCAATATGAGATTAAAATTTTTATTTCTACACTTATTTTATTTGAATATTTTATGTTTTTCTCGTATGATTAGTTTATATTTGTATGATTAAATTAATTAGATTGCACACTAGTTATTTGTTCATATTAACTTATTACTAGCTAATTATTCAAGTCCATGTAATTGATTGTCTAAACTTGCCTGTGGTAGTAACTAAAGGTTGATGATTATTTTTCATTTTTTCATTCAATCCCTTAAAAAACATAGAACTAAATTACATTTTCAAGGACTTAAGAGATGACTTAGCTTCACCTTTCTTTGATTAATATTGTTATTAGATTAAATCTATCTAGCACTTAGTAAGTTGTTCAGTAACTAGACAATTAATCGAGTATCGTATATTTAGTTAATGATTAAGTAAGAAAAGATTAAAGATTGAGGATAACATACATGTTATTGTCTTACGAGTGAATATTCATATTTAATATAAGTTAATTATTTAATCGATGATCGATGACCAAATCAAAAGTAGATAATTAAGTTTAACCAAGGTCCTCTTAATATTGTTATTTCTTATTACTTTAATTCCTCATAAGCATTTCAAACTCAAAACCTCCCTTTTACACTATATGAAAAATCAAATGAAAGAAACCGTCAATTAAGCCTCATTCCTACAGGTTCAACCTTTACTTGCCTTAATTAAATTATTGTGATTAAAAGCTTTATAAGGATAAAATAAATTATCAAATTTGTTAGCTATACGATAATCTATCAAATATTGGCACCATTGCTAGGGATGATTATGCTCAAGTTAATTTTTTCTTGGTATTCTAGTTATTTTTATCTAATTTTTTTCCAACATAACTTAGTATTCTCAACAGTTTGGCTCTTAATATGACCTAAAATTCGAGAAATACGAAGAGGTAAACTTATTTGCTATTGCATAATAGATTTTTAACCTAACATCTCTAGTGTGTCAAATGGTTATAAGACATGTGTAATAAGTTCATAATTGTGGCATATGTTTGATGATGGGGCATTCATCCAAATAGGTGTCCAATGCTTCAAGAAAAACTTGTTAGTGTTATTAGTGTAGGTGCCCAAGATCCAAACATGTTGGATAGGTTTGAGTTATTATATTATTGTATTATTTATTTTATTTATTAAAAAAAGTCTCTCTATTAATTCTTATGTCTTATATTTATTTATTGAATAGAATTAAATATAAGTCCATATGATATGCATTTGCATTAGTGATTGATTGAAAGATGTGAGATAAACAATAATGCACATAAATGATATCACTAAATGTCCCAAGTCGTAGCATTGTTAAGAATGGACATTGACTAGATCCGGTTAGACTTATGAGTACTATGCTCATGCTATATGATAGTAGTAGGAGATCTCATACCTATTGGCATGATGATGCCAAAGTAAGCACTTAGGTGATTTATGTTAGAGAACATATCACTAAACTTGACTCATAATGAGAACCCATTTGGTTTAATCTATGAGAATCTTATACGAGATGGATACAACTAGTCCTTAGACTTGAAGTCATTACGATTATCTCATTAGGAGATTTATGTACTTTGACACTCATTTTGAAGGGCCTAGTAAAAGGTTACACATGGGTGATTCATTGGGTGTACTAGAAATCTAATAAAGATAGGTGGATAACTAAGATAGGACATGTCATTCCTTATTTGCTAAAGGAATTATCACATTGCACTTCGATGAATGTCTACTCAAGAAATCTGTGGTCATAGTAGGATACATCAATAGAGCATAGTTGATTTATTCTAAGAGTTAAGATATTTGAGAATTGAAGAAAACTCATGTGATCATAATCGAACAAGACTAATAACCAAGTTTGAGATCACATTGTGATAAATTGACATAAGGACTCGAATTGTATGATAACCACGCTCATGAAAGATAATTATGGATTAATTAATTCTCTTAGAGGATTTGATAGTCATGATGTCGTGCTAGAGTCCAATCTTGATTTATGTATCAAGAGATAAAAGAGGTATTAGTTATTCTTGATGCATTGCTAACATATCTAAGAGCTTATTGAGTCATATGTATAAGTTCAATTTTAAGGGCCTAAATAATGTTTTTGGCCAAAATTACCCCTACATTATGGGCATAGCCGAGTGAGTTTTAATCGTTAGCTCAATTGGCATCGAACTAGGCCCAAAGAACCTTAGAATTAGGCCAATAGTTTTTTCAACTTCGCCATGTTCGTATTTGTTTCATGACTTTCAAGGCCCATTGGTCTACATCATTCCCCCTAGGAAAGAGAAAATTTACCCTCGAATTGTTTGCATCATCATCTTTAGAAGAATCATCATCAAATGGAATCAAGTGCTTAACATTGAACACATTGACAATACAACTATGACTACGCAGACTTTAGGCTATAAGCATTGGACTTAATCCTCTTAGTTATCTCCATAGGAAACTCTTTCAAGAATACATCATGAAATTCAACAACAAAAGGGACTATTATTTTTAGTATTATCTCAATAGTTCTAGCTTCCTTTTTAATTAACACATAGACCACCCTCGAATCCCGTAACTCCTTTTCAAACCGAGCTAGTGACACCGACTTGCTAATATCACATATAGGTTTGGAAATAACTAGAACCTTACTAGGTACAAGCACAATCTTTACACCATTAAACATGAAGCCATATTATTAGCTCGCCCCTTATGAACTACACTCCTATCATACTACCACAACCTATCCAACAATAAGTGATACGCATCCATTGCAATCACATCACACCACATATCATTCTTATACTTATAGCTAATAGAAAAAGAAACTAGATCTCATTGAGAAACAGATCACCACTTTTTTTTTTTTTAAAGCCAAACCAATTTGTAAGGCTTAGGGTGCTTCTTTGTCTTAAGACCTAATTTTTACACTAGTTCATCAAAAATAATATACTCACAATTATGAGCTTTTAATGACAAAAAGATAGATCTTACCTCGAATTGTATAGGTGGGCTAAAAAATATTACTCCATATTCAATCATCTAAGGGTGTTCACTATTTGATTAAAACCAAAATACTAAACCGAACCGAATCGAATTAAAAATTTTGGTTCGGTTTTTTTTTAAATATAATAAAAAATCGAATCAAAAAATCAAAATTATTTCGATTCGGTTTGATTTTTTTTAAAACACATTTAGTTTCCATCGAAAACCGAATGTTAAGCAAAGTTAAATTTTGTAACTTACAAAAGTAACAAAAGTTATAAAACATCGAAGACTAAACCCTAACTCCCGTCCGTCTCCCTAAGTCTTTACTCCTTCCCGACTCCCGAGTTCCTCGCTTGCCGCTTGCGCCTTGCTCGCTTCGTTCAAAGTTCAAAGTTCAATCCTTCTCTTTCCGACTTTCACAAATCACAATCGGTGCTTCAGCTTCACGCCTTCATCGCTTCGGTGCTTCCGGACTTTCGGTTCCAGCCAACAAAACTCAAAAGGTCAATTTTTTTTATGGTTAAATGCTATACTTTTGATTAATTTCATTTTTTTCCTGAATCATTTATAAATTTCTGTAATTAAAATGAAACCATTGGGTTGTTGATGGGTTTAATGCTTCGGGTCCCGTAACTTCTTTTATTGTTAAAGTTTCTATGATTCTGTCTCTTTTTCATTCGAAACCTAATATGACTATATGAGAAGTTAGTAATGGACTATATAGTATTTGCTTTTAGGTTTTCATGAGTAAGACTTTTGATTTTTTTTTTCATTTGGGAATTGGGATTAGATAGTAGGGTGGCCATTGGCATGCGAGCACGAGCCGGTAGGCTCATCGGCTCGTGAGCACAAGCCAATAGGCTCGTAGCCGGCCGCTTGACAATGGACACTACCCACTCGTTTTAACTTTTAAAATTTAAATTTTTAATACTATAAACTTGTATTTAATATTCATTTCTAATCAAATATATTCTTGAACTTGTGTAGATGTTAGGATCCTCGGATGCCGAAGCCGCGAGTTCAACTCATCCAAAACCGAGTCCAACAATAGATACAATTGTTGTTGGCTCTTCATCAAACACACAAGTGAGCACAAAGATGAAGAGAAAAGCAATGAGGCCAAGGTCATTTGTATGAGACCATTTCACAAAGTTTGAAGATGAAAATAAAGACATTAAGGGGAGATGTAATTACTCGTGATAAGGTACTTGCTTGGTCATCCTACTAGAAATGGTACTACCGCACTTAAATTACATATGGTCATATGCAAAAAACACCCACATAGGCTTAACCTTACCCAATCGAATTGAACCTTCAATCTAATTCAAGTGTTCAAATGGGAGAAAACACTCTTAGCACATGAAAGTTTGATCAAACTTGCATTAGAAATGCTTTAGCTTACATGATTATTGTGGATGAACTTCCTTTCAAATTTGTCGAGAATGTGGGGTCTAAGTGGTTTATATCAATTGCACAATCTAGGTTTAAAATTCCATCACGGGTTACCATTTCAAGAGATTGCTATCAACTTTATATGTATGAGAAATTAAAGTTGAACCAAATTTTGAAAAATAATTGTCAAAGAGTTTGTCTTACTATGGACACATGGACGTCTATTCAAAGAATTAATTATATGTGTCTAATAGCTCATTTTATTAACAATGATTGGATTGCATAAAAAGATTCTAAATTCTTGTCTCGGTTGATGTCATAAGGGTATTAATTTGGATAGTGCTATTAAAAAGTGTTTGATTGATTGGGGAATTGAAATTTTTTTCACTATTACCGTAGACAATGTAAGTTCAAATAATATGGTGATTAGATATTTGAGAGATGTTTTGAATAATTGGGGTAATATCATCTTAGATGGGGAATTACTTCATATGAGGTGTATTGCTCATATTTTGAATCTTGTTGTTTCGATGGGTTAAAAAATGCAAACCCTTCGATCCTTCGTGTTCGAGCAGTCTGTAAGGTATATTAGATAATCTCTCGCTAAGTTGAGAAAATTTAAGGAATGCATAGAGATTAAAAAGATTGATTCTAAAAGTTATTACATCTAGATGTTTCAACTAGATGGAATTCAACTTATTTGATGTTAGATTCAGCTCAAAAGTTTGAGAGAGCATTTAAGAGATATGAGCAAATTGATCATTTATATAGTATTGAACTTAATGTGGATCTTGGTGATGGGACATTTGGGCCACCTAGTGTAGTAGATTGGAGGACTTGTAGGAAAATGGTGACAATATTGAAAAATTTCTATGATCTTACTTTTTCTATTTGGGGTCATCATATGTCACTTCTAATAATTATTTTGATGAAATTTATACGCTTGAAGCTGATTTGAGAGAATGGCAAGAGTGTGCCGATGATGATACTTGTTCAATGGCTAGTAAAATGAGAGAAAAATTTGATAAATATTGGAGGGATATGAAGAAAATGAATAAGTTGATTTATATTGGAGTCATACTTGATCCAACACATAAACTTATTTATGTTGCATTTACATTAAACAAATTGCATGGTGATTGCCTTGGAGAAAAGATGACAAATGATGTGAAAGAATGTACATATGCCTTGTATGCTTCATATTGCAATTTATCACCAAATCAAGGTCTTAGTGGTCAAAGTAATGGGATTATAGAAGTTTCAAGTGTAAGTGATGGAATGGACACCAATCATGCCATAAAGAAAAAAATAAGACACTTGCGAGGATGTCACAATTTCAAAAATTCAATAAAAGTGAAAATGGAGATAAAAGATCAGATTTGGATAAGTATCTTCGTGAATCTGTCGAAATTAGAAATGAAAATTTTAATATTTTGAAGTGGTGGAAAAACAATTCTCTTCGGTTTCCTATCCTTTCAAAAATAGCTTGTGATGTGTTGGTCGTTCCAATATCTACTCGTTCCTTCGGAATCAGCATTTAGCACTTGGGGAAGAGTTCTCGATGCCTTTAGGAGTTCTTTAACTCCTAGCATTGTGCAAGCTCTTGTATGTGCTCAAGATTGGCTTCGAAATTCGATGCCAATTACTACCGAAGAAGATTTGTAAGATGTTAAGAAACTTGAAGCCGGTAAGTTTTTCAATTCTTATATTTTTATTTGTCTTTTTTCCTTCTAAATTAATATTAAAGACTTAAAGTGTTGATTTTTTTTCAGATTTATTAAAACTATCAACGAATGCACCTATGATAGATATATGATGAATGGATGGTGGTTTGATCTTTTGAGTGACATGGGTAAATTTCTAATGAATTATCTTTGTGTGTGTCAATGTATGTTTGTAAATGCCTTTATATTTATAGAATTGACATTTTTCTTTCTTTTCTTTGTAGAATTTGTCATTTAGTGAACCTTTTGCTTGAAGCCTTGAACTTGTCTATTTGTGGTTGTGAGTTGTGACTTATTGGAGTTTTTTGAATTATTTTACTTGGCAAGTTATTAGTGACTTAGTTTTGTATTGTTGGCTTCTTATTGTTGCTTTCTTGTTGTTGGTTTGTTGCTTTTACTTTTATAAATTACTTATGTTACTTGGTAATTTGGGAATGTTGAATACTTGAATTATTGTTTTTAACTTTTTATTTTGTTGCATACTTGAAATTGAATTGTTGTTTGACATTCTTGCTTTTTCATTATTAAAGTATAGAGAATAGTGTAGTATTATAATCTATTTGAAATTTGGATGGGGTCTATGTGTTATTATGGCTTGTCATTAAAAAAAAGTTGATCCTTGAATGAATGTTGAGATCATGAAATCGATGCAATTTTAATTAAGTTATCGATCGAATCAACATATGATATTGAGTATTAATTAAAGGTGAAAACCGAATTACTGAATAAAAAAACCGGTATATTTCAAAACCGAACCGAAAAACTGAATAATAATTCGGTTCGGTTTCGGTTATTTTTTAGACAATTCGGTTAACCGAAAACCGATAAAAAAAGTTTGAAACCGAACCGAATTATCGAACGAACACCCCTACAATCATCATCAATGACTTTAGGAGTCAAGTAGGACCTCCTAACAACCGGTATTGTTCCCTCGTCGCCAATCACCTCTTTTTTGGGACATCTCTATCGTCATAGATTGGATCACCGATCAACTCGCCTCATCTCTAACACAATCCTCATCATCGAAAATAAGTGTTTTTTTCCTTACCTTCAACACTCGGGCTATCTATGGCCAATCTCACCTATGCAAAACATTTTATATTATTACCAACTACATCACTAGGCCGTCCAATGAATCGTGAAGTTTCTACTACCTTCGCCTCTTGTGTGAACTACCCTACCACCACTAATTGTGCCACTACTACTTCCCGTGATGAAAGGGTTAATAAAGCTATCTAACATTACTGCTTCTCAACTTGTAATACTTTTTTAAAGGCGATACAAAGACACATAGTGGTCTAACATATTAACAAAATCCCTAATTTGTGATTACGGACCACTAATATATCTCACCACCAATTGATCATTTGTCTCCTGTAATTCCTTTTGGGCTAGAAACTAATAGAACTCAATGGTACATCATCCTTTAGAAGTTATAGGGTAAGAAGGCGAGTACACATGTGCTTCTTTTTTTTTCTAAGAATTAATCTTAGGTTTAGCCATCCTGTTTTGGGTCAATTTCGAGTTCCTTCCACTAACATGTTACTCTCTTTCTAAATCTAATGGCTACTAAAGAAACATTTATCTTCGGGAATCTCTTTAAATTTTACAATCTCCTTCACCATTAACAATCAATCCAAGAATTTTTCTAGTTGAAGGGTATCATAAAATTCAAGAATCTTAGTCCGCATATCAATTTCCCATCTCCCACTATCATAATCTCTCACAAGGATCCTCTATTGTTTATATGGAACATCGTCTTCATCATCCATTCTAGCATTAGGCACCTTCTAGTTATAATGGTGGGCCCGGTTCCAATGGCCTCTACCCATGTTCATCGTTAGCGCGTTCATCTATTGTGCCAATGTCCTCATATGCTTGTGTCAACATCCTTATCTATTATGTCAACTACTATAATGATTGTTCATCCTATCATTCATCTACTTAACTCGCTACTCTAAATACACTCGCATCGGTGTGCTCATAGATCTCATCCATATCCCGTCGTTGTTGTCTCCTTGGCGACATGATCGAAAGCGACGACCATACTACGATACCAACTAATGTAATAGAAATTTATAAGAAAAAATAAATATCATTTATCTAAAATCCGGATGCTTGGTCTACTACAATCTATTTAATTGTGCATAAATACCAAGAAATAAGCTTCAACTTTCGTTGATTTAATGAATGTCAAAAATTGAGATAAACTTAAGATACTCTCTCATAAACTTTTATTGATCAAAGAAAGCTATGTTTTTCAGCCTTTAAGTCATACATAAGTAGGAAAATTTAGCCAAAACTTTAAACCAATTCAAAAAGGAAACAAATACAAAAAAAAAAAAAAAAGGAACAAATCTAAGTTAGTAAAAGTCAATTTTAAGGGCCTAAATGATGTTTTTTTTTTTTTTTTTTTGCCAAAATCACCTCGACCTTATAGGCATAGCCTATAATTTTGCTCGTTGACCCATTTGGCATTGAATTAGGCCCAAAAAATCTTAGAATTGAGCCAATAGTTTTTTTTTTTTGCTTCGTCATGCTCAAATCGTTTCATGAATTCCAAGTGGTTGTTGGTCCGCATCAAATTGAAATACCAACATGCAATAAAATTAGAACAATGATGCATAATGATTACATCCTTTACTTCATGCTCTGCTTGCTATATCATGTCTTTAGTTATAGGATTCGACACATACAATCTTTATAACTATGAAGTGAGCAAAAAGTAATTCATTTTTTTATATGAAATATCTTTTTCTCTTATTCATTGTACTCGATTTTTTATATTGAGGATGCGAACAGAACTTACACGGAGTTAATTCATTGACTTCTTCCCGATAAATCATATAGTCATTGTTATAATAATATATCCTTTCAACTAATAAACGCATCCCCATTCACTAAATTTTTTATGTTATAAAAATCTTCCGTCATATAGGTATCATCGTGGATTAAATCATGCATTAGTTGACATAAGTCATCGTAACACTTTTCAAAAAAATGGTGTC